TTTATTACAATTATCAATAACAACAAAAAAGCATGCAACCATATTATATTTATTTGTGCGAGAAGTTGTATCAAGAAAAACAATATCGTGATACCTAGTCCACAAACTTTGTTGGTCAGGTGATAGCCAAATTAATTCACTCAACCTTCGCTCAGGCCCATCAAACCTACTTTCTACAAACCATCGTGAATCTTCACTACATTTTGAATATAAATAACGCATGAGATCAGATGCATCAAATTCAATTCTTTTTATTGAATGTTTTTTCGCAACTTGAATAGCATTGTAAAGGGCTTTTTGATAGATTTTTGTTCCCGGGAACTTGCTTTTCAATAACCGGCCAATAGGCTGTCACCTGATATTCCACTTTTTACACAAAATTCAATAAACTGAATCATATCATAATTAAATTTACGATATTTTGCGATCATGGTTGTGGGTGAAGGTGTCATTGGATGACTATGTTTGTCCTCAACAGTAGTAAAAATTATTAGTGATAACCTTTTAGATAGATGTCTATTAACCTTCCACATACATTCAGTAGCTTTAGATTGTCTGTTGCGATGTTTTTCAGGGTTTAAGACTTTCTTTGGTTGATATTTACCCGCACAACTACATTCCCAATTAACTCTAATCATAACTTTATTCCCATTTTCAGTAATACTTTCACTTCGTTTTTTACGAATACTAAACCCTTTTTCTCTTCCATAATCTTCAAGATACTTTTCAGCTTCATCCCATGTTTGAAAGCTTTGCCCTTTATATAATCCAGATGGTGCCATATTATTTTCTTCATCTGAGGAATCGGTGTCAAAAAGTTCATTTTGATCGCTGACTTCATCTTGATTGTTGTTCATTAATTCTGATTCATCATTTTCTAAGCCAAACTCAAGCCCAGGTAGGTACAAACTAGATCCAATATTATAAGTAAATAAGTATACATTATTAATGTGTCAATTAAAGACTCAATAATACCTATGTTTGTTGAGAATGTAAATGATCTTGCGTTACTTGATAATTATACGAAGGTTCAATAAAACCGTTTATTGATATATCATTTACTGGCGAAGTTACATGTTGATCATAAAAAGTAGATGGAGTCTAAGTGCAAGTAACTTTTTAGTTAAATATTATAAAATTTTTTAGTCTTTAAATTATTAAAATTA